ACTCATTTTCAACTCTTAGAAACACTATTGTGACTACTGCGATGTCTTTCTAACTCATGACTCCACTTCAGGTAAGGTCGATGCGATCACAAAACAATACATCGACCCTTCTCATTTACTTTGGAATACAGTACGAAAAGCCCACAATAGTGGAAGGAATCATCTTGCTAACGTCCGGGACTACTACGCTTGTGCGTTGATCTGGTCGACATTGTTTGGCCACAACTAATCTTCCTCTTAGCACTTGGCCATGACAAAGCACAAAGTATTATTGACCAAATTACAGCGGCCTATGAAACCAGTGGCGGTCCGCCTCCTGGTGGGTTTGGCTTTGGTCCTCAACATCTCGTTGGCCCTCCCCCTGGCTACGGCGGACCTCCAGCTGGATTTGGTGGGCCCGTGCCTCCTCCGGGATTCGGTGGACGTGAGTCAATTCTGTTAAGTATCTCGTACACACTAGTTGACACACCGATAGCTCGACCTCCTTTCCCTCCTGGACCCGGTTTTCCGCCTATGATGCCTCCTGGTGGACCCCCTTTCCCTCCAAACGGTGGTCCTCCCGGTGCGGCTCCCCCAGGTTTCGGTGGTATGTCTCTCGTACATCATTTCCGCTGTTCTCCTGACTTGTCAGTGTAAAGGACCCCCTCCGTTTCCTCCGAATGCTGCACCTTCAGGCGCTGCTCCATTTCCTCCTAACGGCGGACCCCCTGGAAGTTTCCCGCCCCCGCCCCCGGGAGCTCTAATGGGCGGGCCAGGTGGTCCAAGTGTACCTGGTGGCCCTCCACCGTCTCAGGCACCGCCACAAAACGGTAGCGCACCTCCAGCTGGAAGTGGTCCTAGCATCCATCCTGATAGGTTAAGAATGCTGAATGGAAGATAACCTTGTTCATTAAGTAGGTGCATGCTACTCGCTGTGTCCGAATACCCTCGTTTGGTCAACTTTGCGAAGACCATATGAATGTTTTTTTGCAGAAAATCAGAAGACACCTCCTGGCTGTATATAAAGTTGTCTTGTTTGTTTGTTTTCTTCTACAATATGATTACTTCCTTGCCCGCGGCTATATAAGTGAATGGTGGAGATTGAGAGTCATTTGGAGACATGATCATCGGAGACTGTCCCCGTACTGACCCCATTGACAACCGACGAAAAAATTCCCCAATGAAAGTAAGAAGACGGTAATTGTATCAGCTTAGGTGCACGGACGAGCACGGTGACTTGTGTAATACACTTACGACTTGATTCAAGGCAACACTGCGCCACAAAGTTTGCAGACAGATTTAGATCTGCAATTTTTCTACGTGGCTGATTAACCCTTGTTAGGAATCTGTGGATAGAAGATGGAGAGGGTCCATCGGCTTCCCATGCGATTTACACTGGGCCACTGAGAAGGCTACACTCTTGCTCTGGATGGACACTGCTAGGCTTATTGTAAGCCATCTAGCTATTTATGTACATGGCTACACTATCTCATACATTGTTAGCATACCTAAGTTTGACTGTCCAACGTCCCAATCCGAGGCAACACCTGTCCATGTCACAATATTATAGCGCTGATATCTACCTCCGCTACATATATATTTGGCTGTTCTTCGACAAATAATCAATGGCAAGTATGGACTGGAACTAGGTATCGCTCCCAATAGACGTTTTCCATTGATGGCCTACTTCGAGAAGTCGCACAAAGTCCCTTTATACTCGGAAATACCAAGGAAACGAACAATACTAGAAGTAGCAATGTAGCGATACATACAATCTCGCACACTCGGTGAAAATTAAATGGCATGAATGGTGCTTAGGATCACTGAAACAAGAAGTTCTGATGAGGTCCAGCCCAGCATACTATTACCCATTTAGTCGACGTATATTCTAAACTTCCGGCCGTTAGATATTTCCTGACTCAAAGACGAAAAGGCATCGAAAAAAACTTGAAGTTGGGTAGCTTGGCAGTTTTGGGTGTAACTGTAAGTATCTAGTAAATTTGGTATCAAACTTGAATCTATGGAAGATAGAACTCTAGAAGCTCACCTTCTATCCTCAAAAGTTACTACAGACTCAAGATCTTTCTGACACAGACACGTGGGATGGCTTTTGTGGCGTTTGAATAAATTATGGTAAATTACTTATGAACGTGCGTCGTGCCTGTGAGATCCGTAATATCCAAATGCGGACAAACGTCCGCTGCTCATTCAAAGGGACAACTGTGGGACTCTGTCTCTGACACCATGTCGACCCAACCCTTACTCCAGCGAACAGCTAATAAACGCATTGCACTCCCTATTCGCGTTGAACCCAAAGTCTCCTTCGCCAACGAACGTACATTCCTCTCATGGCTGCACTTCACTGTCGTTCTTGGTGGTCTCGCTGTCGGCCTGTTGAACTTTGGAGATAAGGTGCACCGATAGCTCTTCTACCTGGTATCATCTACCTATCCTATCGTATAGGTTGGAAAAATTAGTGCAGCATTGTTTTCCATCGTTGGTGAGCATTTGCCAGCCTTTTCGATGTCTCGCAACCCCGCCAATCAATCGATTTTTTCCCTATAGCTATGGCTATCATGGTCTATGCTCTATACACATACCATTGGCGAGCTGCCTCCATTCGTCGAGGTGGCAAAGGACCCTATGACGATCGACTTGGACCGGTGAGTTTTCGTTGGTTTCTTGGATTGTCCTCGTTGACAAATCTTCTCTCAGACAATTCTATGCGTCGCCCTTCTCGGTATAACACCCTTTACGCTTGGTGTTGAGACTTCTAATCCTTTTTCAGTGGCTGTTATCGTCAACTTCGTCCTTCGGTTTGCAGAACCATAATCTTTTGACACATGTTGAAGGGGGGATTTCAACTCCTATCTAGTGCGATTTTGTGTACGAAAATAAATGGGAATGTATAGGTATATATATAGTCCGAAAGGCAAAGAAAGAGGCCCACAACAACTAACTACGTTTCTGGCGCTTGGTGCCGGCTCTTGTGGTCGTGGTCCCTGAGGTGTCCACCGAGGAAATCGACATGGACCGACGTGCCTTGAATCCCGGTCATTAGACATCGTATATGTTTGGTGTTCACACTTACTTGTTTTCTACTTCGTGTGCTGACAACACTTTGTGCTCGTCCATCCTCACCAATGACTTCCCCATCATTTGGTTCGTCAACATCCATGTGATCACCTGTTGGCTGACTCTCAGCACCCTGGCTCTCTCGCATCCCTAATCGACCCTTCAATAGTCGGATGTCATATTCAACCTTATCAACAAGCCGCTTTGTTTCAATCAGAGCTGCCGTGGCATCCAGAAGCGACTCAAGCTGCATAATGTTATCACGGGTAGGCATGACAAGTCGATTATGATTAATCCCAAGTTCCGCAAGGGCAGCAGTTATTTTGGGAGCGACAGCTGATTTGGGCGTAGGAAGTTTGTATGAACGAAGATTAGCTGGTTGGTGCGCGGCTTTCGTAACAGGTACTGTTGTTGGTGGATCGGTCCGGATAATGCAATTTGCAGCATCTTGAAAGGAGTATGAGCGTCAACATATTAGCGTCAACATCGATGAGAAAAGCAACAAGTCTCATACCAAAGGCAGCGTTTCTTGCAGTTGGTGGTCGTTTGACAACTGGTGTAGCAGGCACAGGTGTAGTTGGTGTATCGGGCTCCAATGCTGAGCCGCGTTTTTTCTTCTTCGTCCCGATAGTTAGATTTGACAATCCTTCATCTTCGACTATATCTGGAAGACCTGAGTCAATACCAGCGAGTGTCCGGAGAAGCTCGTCCCGATCTTTCTTGAACTTTCGCTCGTTCTGCTCTAAGCGTTTAACTTCAATAAAGAGTGCCTCCTCTTCAGCAATCTGTTCAGGAGTCCGGCTTTCCAAACTCAAGATATACTTTTTACGAGTCAGTTCTCGCTCTATCGGTGATAATAAGTAGAGCACAGATTCAGGCAACAAGGTTAGAAGCATGCCTTTGTCGAAGTTGTAACTCGAGATCATTGCAGTCTTGCTCTGCTCATCACCCGCCCAAGGTCGATTCCTGACAAGCTTTCGACACACACTGTAATATCTGTCTTTGAGGTCCTGGAATGGGTATGAAGAGATATATCATAAATAGGAGAATCACTCTCACATCCACTGTTCGTGTGACACCTCCGGGGAAGTCATAGCGATCGTAGACGACGAACCACCGAACATCGTATTCTCTAGCCACCGAGAATAGATAATCCGTTTCATCCTTCGACCAATCCTTGTCTGAGCTTAAATCAGAACGCAAGAGGAAATACACTTCATAATGGCGCAAACCTTCCAAAAAACGTGTATATTCGTCCTGAGAGTAGGTAAAGACATTTGTAGGCACATTATATTTGGCAAATGGATACTCTGCTCGTTGTGGTCAAATGGAATACTGGAGACAAGTCACCCAAGTTCACCTGCATCTTCAGCCGTGGAAGCCTTGACCCAGTGACGAAGTTCGAGTGAATCTTGGCGTGCACTGTTTTTGAATGGCCGGGACTCCCTAAGAATCAGAGGATCGAACGCAATCATTGTGGATTGTGACTAAATGGTATCTCACCATTTTACCTTGTTCCCACCACCAAGATTTGGTTTCTGCTTAAGCCGAGGCTTAACGACAACTAGTGAAGGCACAGATGGTCCGATGAGAGCATAAAGTTCCCTTGAAATTCCTTCAGGTTTTCGCGTAGGTGGTTGGATCTGTCTCTTTGGCTGGGACGGTCCAGGTGTTGCCGATGGTTCAGGGATGGAAAGAATGCTGCGGACGTCTGCAGCTGAGGCGGCCATGATGGGTGCAATTCAAGAGTGGGCGATGGTCACGTGCGTGTACGAACTAACAAACTCTTGTCATCTAAGATCATGACCATCTCGCGGGAGTTTCGACGCAAGAACTATGGACGGAAGAATAGCCCGACACAGCCTTTGGTTCGTTGTTCGACGTTCATGTATCATGTCTGTAAGGAAGAATTTTCTATACAGAAATCTCCAAAAAGATAACTAAACTGACGACAGTGAGATTCGAACTCACGCCCCGAAAGACTAGATAAGAGGGTTGCAACACCTGATTCTAGCGCCTTAGACCGCTCGGCCATATCGCCATACTTGAGCACCCATTATATTCTTGTTTCAGACTCCCACGAAGCTGTAGAACAAGACATTTACTCCACAGAATTAACTACCTATACACATTCTCGAATTCCGATCTCAAAAATACATTCCTTACATCCCCAATCCAACTCCAACACACGCATCACCGCTCAAACCCATACCCTCCATACTGGTACCCCTGTCCCTGCCCATGCTGCTGACCCGGGAACCCACCCTGCCCCTGCCCCTGCCCCTGCACATGCACATGCTGACTCAAAGGCGGCGGCGGCGATTGCACATTCGGAGACTGGTATCCTGAAGCGTACGATTGATAGCCTCCTTGCTGTTGGGGTACATACGTAGAATTCGATGGAGGCTGAGATACATAAGTAGTATTTGATCCGTTCGATGGAGTAGCCACACGTCCCTCGAACATCTGCAAACTCGCATATGGATCTGACGCTACGGCAGAAGGAGGTGGGGGTGAGAAAGCCGTCTGTGCCTGTATCGGTGCGGGCCGCGGTGGTGGCGGTGGTGGTAGGAATGTCGATGGTGTTGAGGATAAGGATGGGCGTTGTTGTTGCGTGAGTTGCGTTTGAGGTTGAATTGGGGGAGGTGTATACTGCTGTTGATGGGTATACTGCTGTTGGTGGTGAGGCTGAGCCATATGCTGATACCGTGGTTGTGGTTGTGGCGGCGGAGGGGGCAAAGACAGACCCGATGCCGAATAATCATATCGCTGTGGGGATTCTACGGGTGCCGGGGGCGGCGGGGGCGGGGGCGGTAATGGTGGCAGCGAAGTTGATCCCCATCCCTGTTTACGATCCCCGATACTCAACATCCCAAATTCCCGCTCCAACCCCGTCCCAATCCCACTCCCAGTCGGCTTCGACTTAAAATCCGGCCTTCTCTCTTCTCTCTCCTTCTCCCTCTCAAGCCCCCTCTCCAGCCTCTCCCTTTCCTCCCTCCTTTCGCCTACAAACCCTGCCACCTCCCCTCTCATCCTCTTCACAATTCCTGCAAGCTCCCTATAAAAACCCAAGCCTCTTTCTAGCCCCTCTCGTACCTTCACATACCCCTCCCGTGCACTTACAAACCGCCTCGTGAGCTCCCTCTTCCTCCGATCCTGTTCGTCCCAGCGGCGGATAATGTGTGCATAAGAAGAGGAGGGAGAAGTGAAGGAACGGAGGGAAGTGTAGAGCGTGCGGATGTCAGTAAGGAGGGAATCTTGTGTAGGAAGGAGAGAGGCGAGCCGGTGCGAATAGGGTTTGAATTTTTCGAGTTCAGAGGCAAAGAGCGTGGGTTCAATGCCTGCGTTGCGACGGTTGAGGAGGAGGAGGTGCGAAACATCGTCTGTTTGGATCTGGAGGGTGGTTTTAGAGTTAGGATTTTGGTTTGCTTAAATCAGATAGAAAGCGAAATACGAACCTTCTCTTTAAGCTCCTTAAGAATCTCCGTCCGCTCGCGCGCAAGTTTACTTAGCCGCGAAAGTCGCTCCTCAATCTCCGCAACGAACCCTCCAATCTTCGCTCTAAGCGTCTCCTCTTCTTCCTCCTCCTTCCCAACATCTAAATCCAACAAACTCTCCCCTTTATCCTCTCTCTCTTCCGTCTCCTTCCAGCCCTCCACAAACACCTCCTCCAATCCCCTCCCTCCTACCTTCCCACCCCGAACCCCAAGCAAAACCCATACATCCTCCCTCACCTCCCCCCATAATTCCCCAACTTGCCGGTCACTCCTCCCCGCCTGCTCCAGCGCCCCCATATGGCTTTTCAACTCCGCCCTAATGGTCTTACTCACCAAAATCCCGCCAGACGGCTCCTGTGTCCAGCGATGTTCCCACTTCATCCTCATCGCCTCACACTCATGACTCTCCTTATCCAAGTCCTGCTGTATTACGTCCAGTTCCGCACTCACACGCTCTTTGAGCTTTCCGAGCTCGACGAGCATGGACTCTATGCCACCTTCATCCTCACGCTCAAGCTTTGCGATATCCTCCCCGGCCCTGTGCACCTCCGCCGGGACCACGTCCTCCCCTGCACCCCCTCCCCCACCCGCACTCCGCCCCTCCGCCATGATCCTGAACCTCCCCAGCCCTTTCCTAACACCTACACTCTCCAGCGCACTCTCAATCTCCGCCTGTGCCCTCTCAACCCCCTCCACCTCCCTCCTCACGACCTTTGCCTTCTCCTCCGAATACACACTCGCGCTCTCATGCACGCCCATCGGCACAAGCGTCCGAAACAACTCCGGGCCGATCGTCTTCTGTACATCGGGCGCGCCATACACCTCCTGGATCGGCAGCGGGGTCGCGATGCTCAGCCCATCAATCTTGGGTAGGGACTCCGGGGCGGGGAGTAATTCGTGGTAGATGAGGTCGTTTTCTCGGGATGCTGTGGTGAGGAGTGTGCTCACGAGGGAAGAGTGTGACTTGGTGAGACCAGTGAGAGAGAGGGAGGCGTCTGCGGGGAGGTTGAGACTGGAAGAGGGGGAAAAGGAAGTGGAGAGGCGCTGAGCATCTTTGGCGAGAGTTTCAGAAATGGTGAGGCGTGCGATGGCGTCCCCGTGCTTTGAGGCGCTAGTATCGGCGAGTGCGCGGTGGTATTGCGAAAGGGAGAGGAAGTATTTGGATTTAATCTACGTGATTGGTGGGTGTTAAAGACAAGAAAAGAGGGGGAAAGTACCTGGATAAGCATAGACCAGTTCCGGTCAAAGATGCCTTTGGCGATGAATTCTTTGACTTCTTCACTGAGGGCTGTATACATCGTTGCGGCTTGCGCTGCGACCTTTGCCACAAGCGCGTTCCCCTTCTTCCCATCTACACACTTCTCAAAGAACACCTCTGTAGCCTGTGCGAGAATCAAACTCGCGAGAAACTTGACGACGTCCCGAGAGAGATCAGTAGACGGTGCATGTAGAAAGTTATCATTGATGAATGTGAGCATGCCAGCACATGAGCGGAAGTAGTAGAAGGCGCGCTTGATCCCATCGGGGTCTGACCGACTTCGGGTAGCAGCAATAGAGGAATGGGTGGCTGCAATTTGGAAGAGTATACACGCCTTTTCATACGCGATGGACGTCTGGGTCGTGAGCTTGTTCGTAAATGCGTCGTGCCACGAAAAGGTGACCTTGATCTCCGGAAAGCGTAACTCGAGGAGCTCGAGCTGGCCAAAGTATTTGTACAATAGATCCCTTGCTATCAGACGTGTAAGTAACAGAAAAGGAGATGTTGTGGTTGATGCGCACCGGTGTCATCGCTGCCTGCACCGCGCACTGCGTCCTGACGACATCGCTGGAGCTGGGCACACTCTGATGCATAGTTGTCTGGGTTCTCACTGTAGGACTGGGCGATGAGCGTACGGATTGGGGTCGTCCAGTCAACCTCCTCGGTGGATTTCTTGGGGACAGAGATCATTGGCGATTGGAACGCCATTGTGAAGAGTAGGGAGATGGCTGCGCAAGGGATCAGCAGTCTGGCTCGCGGCAACTTCCGGCCTTGCTCTTGCTTTACCATGTCCACGCCGTCCAAGCCTGCGTCCAGCGAGGACATTCTCGGTCAGAAGGTGTGTATTTCATTTTATTATGTAGTCTATCCTCATGCAGACTGTACGCAGTATGACCGCTGCCGTGCGTATTTCTCAGTCTTTTCTTGATTACAGCCTCATATCACGCCACCAAGTCGCCGACTTTCTCGTCAAGGCGTACGTTCTCCCCTCAAGCTTACACCCTTTATATTCCGTCTAACTCTTCACAGTGGAGTAGGTTTCAGTGTCGGCGTTGTTGCCTCCGTCATCCTCTTTCGCCGTGCGTACTCAAGTGACACCGTTCCGGTCGTATAATGAATGTCTATTCCACACAGGACGTACATGGCCCATCGCACTGTCAACAGGCTTCGGTGCCGGCGCTGCATACGCGGACTGTGACCGCTCATTCAACTCCGCCCGCGTACCCGGCACACGCATCGTCTCTCCTTCCGAGCTTACTTCATCAAAATAAAAATCTTTCACTATTTGCATATACTTGGGAATTAAGTCATAGCCCACTTAGATTAGAGAGGATAGGATGAAGGGCGAGGAGGAACGAGGACGTGCATGTACCGACTTATAACATATTTTACCATACATCACGCTTCGAAACGTGCAGACCCTGCGACCTGTCTTACTCCCCTCCACGACGACTTGTATTGTGGTTCCTTAAGGCGTTTCCCTCCAGTGAGTGTATTCGCGCGTCGTAATTTCTCGAAGGTATGAGAAAAGAACAGATATATATATCATGTGGTCACCTAACCATCATGCATCATGATTCAATGGTGTAGATGCACAGTACGCAGTACCGCAGCACTCATCTCCAAACCTCAGGAAATCCGTAATTCATAGTATCAGAATGGCAGATCATGAAACATTTGTCGATGTCTGGTTCGATCGAGATGGTGCTACGAAAGACAAGGAAGGGTTTTACGGCGAATGGTCCAAGCAAGGTAACATTCCAAGACTTTGACTGTCTTCTGTAACTCAGAATTGTGTAGCCTCCGCAAAACATACAGATCCCTTACTTGCTGGGTACGTGTTATCACATTAGTTCCATGAAGACTGTTGTTATGGACGTTGAAACGTTGAAGTGCTGATGCTCTCCGTCGCCTGTATCCCGGCCACTCTGTCGTGTTATCAACTGACTTCAATCTAAATATCCTCAATCACCCTGGAGTGGTCGCTATTCCCGTGGAGCAGACGCCCCTTGTAACAAACACCCTCTTCGTCTCTGTAGCTCGTGGTATTGGAGCCGTACCTGGGGTTTTGATCGACCTTGTTCAGTTTGGCGTCTTCAAGGTTGCTTGGGATGTAAGCTTGATTTATCATCATGATTTTCATGCTATGATGTGCGCTGATGCTTGTAGAAATACGATTTTTAACTCTTCATAGTCCAGGCAAGACATTGAACGCATCGCCAAATGACAGCTTAAGTATTTCTAACCTCAAGTGTCCTTCCGGGTTCGGTACAATTGTCGCCCGTT